TTTCCGCTTTTACTTTCATTCTCTTAGCCTTGTCTTTTTATGACAGTGACCATTGGTATGTGTACCTGACCCATAACTCAGTAGAAGGGCACTCGGCGCGTAGTAGAAAAGACTGCGCCAGTCCCTTCACTTTCGCGTCCCAGGGCGAACCCTGCGGTTACCACGGCCACAGGCCGGTTGTGCTCTGCTGTACAGCAGGGTGCCGAGCCTGCGTGGACCAATGGAAAGCCCTGCGGCGCACCTTTTGCTAGGGCAACGCCAACAGGGCTGATCCACGTTGAGCACATTGCAAGTACTAGGCCTACAGGGGTTCATAAAATATCCAGCGAGCCGAGGGCCACAGAACGGAATATAGGTACCGGGCAGAGACTTTGGCACACAGAGGAGGGCCGGGATACCGCGCCCTCCGACAGCGGGGCGTTCCTCTTAGGGGCACCCCCACCTAGTGCTATGAGATGGGTGGGGATGGGCCGTTTACGAGAGGGCTTTACATTGGGAGATGTAGCTCCGCTCCCGCTTTAGATGGTAGCTCTTTGGTAACTCGTGGCGGTTTTCTCGATTTATTTAAGTGTGGCCAGACAATTGCTCCTTCCAATACTCATGCAGTCCAGGGGTTTTATTGAGAACTCCTCTTCTTTTTGTGCGCAGGCCAAGCGTCATCCTTGGGCCACACACTTTTTTCCTAAGCACAGTAATTCCTATGGCATCATCGGGCGGGCGGCGACACCATCCATCCCCTAGCCCCTATATATTTTTTGCTTGACCTACACATTATATTCACATGTCCATCGCTAGCCCTTAGTCTTTCAGGGCTTCCACATTGCATCCAAAGCGTCAAGACACACATCCATCACGCCAAGTCACACTACTTTTTCCTTGTCCCTTTTGTCCAAGCATCATACACCTAGGCCCACCAGCATCAAGGTCTATGCCCAACCCGTGACCTTCCCATTTCGACCCAACTTTTTTTTTGCCGCTCGCGTCTCCTGTCCGGCCCTGCTCAAACCATCCTAAGCTACTCACCTGCACAGATCCACGCAAAGCAAAAACCAATACAATCCCCCAATTGGGATCAACACATTGCCCTTCCCGCAAGCCTAAGTTCTTTCCCTTCCCAAGGTTCCTTCAACTTTCCCTTCCCTTCACATTCAAGCCATGCATTCCCCTTAGTCATGCAGTCGGGGGAATGGTTGAGTCAACTGACCTTGTCTGAAGCCTTTACTCTTTCAACCTTTTCAAAAGATCTCGCCTTTCCAAGTTTTCACAAAGGTCCCGTTCCTTTCCTTCTTGGTGGCACAAGGGACCGGCAACCCTCCCCTTGCCCTCTTTCTCCACCAAGTGAGGACCGAGTTCGTTTACCGTTCGTTCCCTGGCAATGTAACAAGTGAGGGGAAAGGTTAGTCACGTGCCAAAAAGGGAGAGGAAGAGGGAGAAGGGGGTGAAGGTCAAGGGTCTAGGGAGAGAAGGAAGGAGAGAGGGAGAGAGGGAGGGGATGGGAGAGAATGAAAGAGAGAGGGGGAGAAAGAGAGAGAGAGAGAGAGAGAGAGAGAGAGAGAGAGAGAGAGAGAGAGAGAGAGAAGTTCCCTATCCTGATCAACCTTGCTCCTTCACCCATCCTACCGGCCTACCGAAGGTCCCTCGTGCCCCTTGGAGCCCTCATTTGCCCACGATCCTTGGGTGGTGGAAGGAGATGGTGGAGAAGGAAGGTGCAAGATGGTTCGCTATGGTGGATGGGTGTAGAAGATGGTGGGGAAGGAAGCTGCAAGATGGTTGGCTATGGTGGATGGGTGTAGAAGATGGTGGAGGGGGAAGGTGCAGGGTGGTTGGCTATGGTGGATGGGTGTAGGAGATGGTCGAGGAAGAGGGTGCAAGGAGGTCGGCTATGGTGGATGGGTGTAGGAGATGGTGGAGGAAGAAGGTGCAAGGAGGTCGGCTATGGTGGATGGGTGTAGGAGATGGTGGAGGAAGAAGGTGCGAGGTGGTTGGCCATGGTGGATGGGTGTAGGAGATGGTGGAGGAAGAAGGCGAAAGGTGGTTGGCTATGGCGGATGGGTGTGGGAGACGGTGGAGGAAGAAGGTGCAAGGTGGTTGGCTATGGTGGATGGGTGTAGGAGATGGTGGAGGAAGAAGGGCAAGGTGGTTGGCTATGGTGGGTGGGTGTGATGGAAGAAGGTGCAAGGTGGTTGGCTATGGTGGATGGGTGTAGGAGACGGTGGAGGATGAAGGTGCAAGGTGGTTGGCTATGGTGGATGGGTGTGGGGGAGGAAGAAGGTGCAAGGTGGTTGGCTATGGTGGATGGGTGTAGAAAAAGAGCGGTGGCTCGGCTTGGTGTCTATCCCTAACCCAAGCGTCCGGGTTCGTTTCCCGACATACTCCCTATCCTCGGAGGCAAAACAGAGTCTCCTACAGCAAAGACTCAGAAAACACAAATTTTGCAGCAGACACGGTTGGCAGAGAATTTGCAGATTTGCAGATTTCAGTAACTTACCGTTTTTGCTGTTTTTTTTTTTTTTTTTTTTTTTGCTTGGTATGAAAATTCGGGATACATAGGCCTGTGTTTCCTACCCCAAACGACATCAGAATCACTCCAAATTTGACGGCCCCCCTCACTGTGTCACAGGGAACCCCGTGCAAAATTTGGTGTGATTCCGAAGCCGTTTGGGCCTACTTGCCTGTTTCGGGCACCGTCCGGTCTGAAGGTGAACAGTTCGGGGAAGTCCGTTTTCTGATTTTTTTAGAAAACGGACTCCGATGGCCTGTCGAGTATGCAGGCCATCTGTTTATGTCTAGGACATGAGGTCTGAGAAATCTCAGACCTCATACCCATGTTTTGACAGCGTTGTTATTGACGTGCTCCCGGCCACATTGATCCGTTCGCCGTTTCCGCGCGATCTCTGCACCGGTGGGTGGTCAATTACTCTTTGCTTGCAGTTGCAGCAGTTTGGTTGGCCAGACTCTAGCAGCAAACACATTCCTACAGCAGTTCATCAGAAAAATCGACAGCAAACGTCAAAACAGTTAAGAAAATCAGCAGCCTACCTACTCCCCAATTACCACGTTCGAATAGAATACGGGGGTCGGTGAACACATGCTAGGCTAGTTTCAACACCCAAGTATTGAGTGCGAGGTCAATCATGGAAGACTCAGAACATCACCTACTAGCACATGAGTAAAAAGCGAGAGTTGCACTAGGCTAAATCACAAGTGTTGAGCGATAACTCAATCATGAAAAATCAGAGTATCACCCATTTGCACATGAGTGGAAAGCAAGAGCTATACTAACCCAAATCACAAGTATCGAG